GTATTGGAGTCACGATCACCTTTGCGCTACGATCGCTTTGCGGAACGGATCCCAGGTCTGAGGTCACGAAGACGTAAACTTACGTCACTTTGGGAAAGCAGCTTTGTAGCAACTCTAGTGGTGATCTGGAACATTATCTCCCCGTATTTTCTTGGCGGCGACTTTAATGGGTTTGATTGCCCACAATGGCTGCTGAGTGTAGATGCTGCGTGAATGGCTCGCCGAGTCTTGCCTGGCTCCTCTGGAAGAAGCGTTGTTTATTTCACGATAAAACATTGTTCTGTGATGACTTCATTTCTGGAGATTCGAACATGCGCTCGCTTCTTGATGACGTCGTATATTGGAAGACTTTACTTTTGAGAGGGAAGTGTCTAGTGACTTCCCCATCGATTCAGCTGGGCAACGCAGATAAACGCAGTGGCCGAACGATCGCATCCGGAAGTGGGAGAGATATGACAATCGCTATTGGGAGAAAAGGTACAGAAAATCGACGTGAGGATTGTGAGAATATGCGGGAAATACCAATACCTAACCCATTTGTTCATAAAATGGACTTGTCCGACATTGCCGAGGTCGGATTCTATTCAGGTAGTCATCATTATCAAAATACGGGTAAAAAGAATAAAAGCTTTTATCATCATTCTAAAGAGGCTTTACATTATATTGATATCTCATATAAGAAATAAATGACTCGTGGTCGATAAACAACTCCCACTTGTCGTTTATTTCTTAAATTTGCGAAGCTACATTGTATTCAGTTGAACCTCGTTATCTCGAGCCAGCTACACACAAGCGCTAAATCGAATACAATGTGGGCGATAAGGGAAGATTTTAGGAATGCTTCGCTTTGATATTTCCAAGGATTAAATACTTACGACCACAATACTATTCTCTTGCGCTGGTCTACCTCACCAAAAAACAGCATTTGCTAAAAATGTTTGTTGGGGTGAAATGGGATTTAACGTCGTGTTTAAGATTATGTCACTTACTAGTAGATATCGACGTGTGTGGGCGCTAATGTATGATTGACAATGTGGTGTTCTTATTCATGTGTGTGGGGGCACGGGTGGCCTAGTCGTCTAAGGCGCCGCGATTCGCTGTGCAGAGTTGCGTCCCTTAAGCACGCCAGACACCTATGGTTCTGGGTTCGAATCCCGGTTCGCCCCGATTATGTTTCTAGGTTTGTCAGCACCATACCCGTGCTCGTGGGTTTTTACCGAAGAGGTTAACGTCTGAGACCTGCATCCCTTTGGGCTTTGCTCCCACATTAAGCTGACACGCTGTGATATAACTGGAATACTGTTTAAAGCGGCGTTAAACCCAACTCACTCACTTACTCACTCACTCACTATTCATGTGTGTCGTATTTGAACAACGAGTGGAGAAGGCTGTCAGTAATAAGTGGAAATAACTTTTGGAACAATGTATTCTTTAGGATACCTAGAATATTAGAAAGAAGAAGGAGTATCTCCCATGACAACATAAAAATGAAGGGTATCGCCCATGAAAAGATGAGTTATGGAGAATCACCCTTGACAACATAGAATGAAGGAGCATCGCCCATGACAACATGAGTTATGGGGAATCACCCATGACAACAGAGAATGAAGGAGCATCGCCCATGACAACATGAGTTATGGAGTATCACCCATGACAACATAAGAATAAAGAGCATCGCTTATGACATCATGAGTTATGGAGTATCACCCATGACAACATAAGAATAAAGGGCATCGCCCATGACAACATAAGAGTTATGGAGTATCACCCATGACAACATAAGAATAAAGGGCATCGCCCATGACAACATACGAGTTATGGAGTATCACCCATGACGACATAGAATGAATGGCATCACCCATGACAACATGAGTTATGGAGTATCACCCATGACAACATAGAATGAAGGAGCATCGCCCATGACAACATAAGAGTTATGAAATATCACCCATGACAACATAGAATGAAGGGCATCGCCCTTGACAACACAAGAGTTATGGAGTATCACCCATGACAACATAGAAAGAATGGCATCGCCCATAACAGCATAAGAGTTATGGAGTATCACCCATGACAACATAAGAATGAAGGAGTATCGCCCATGACAACATAAGAGTTAGGGAGTATCGACCATGACGACATAAGAGTTATGAAGTATCACCCATGACAACATAAGAGTTATGGAGAAACACCCATGACAACATAGAATGAAGGAGCATCGCCCATGACAATATAAGAGTTATGGAGTATCGACCATGACAACATAAGGATAAAGGAGCATCGCCTATGACAGCATAAGAATTATGGAGTATCGACCATGACAACATAGAATGAAGGAGCATCGCCCATGACAACATAAGAGTTATAGAGTATTGACCATGACAACATAAGTATGAAGGGCATCGCCCATGACAACATAAGAGTTATGGAGCATCGCCCATGACAACACAGGGATAAGGGAGCATCGACCATGACAACACAGGGACAAAGGAGCAACACATGAAAGAAGGAATATCCCCCATCATCCCGATATATCATATAAATGAAAAAGGAAAATCACACATGACATCATAAGAATGAAGGAGAATCACACATGACATCATAAGAATGAAGGAGAAACACACATTACATCATAAGAATGAAGGAGAAACACACATTACATCATAAGAATGAAGGAGAATCACACATGACATCATAAGAATGAAGGAGAATCAACCATGCCAGGTTAAGAAGGAAAAAGGAGAATCACACAGTACATCATACGGCTGAACGAGAATCACACTTTACATCATATGAATGAAGAAGAACCACACATGACATCATAAGAATGAAGGCGAATCACACATGACATCATAAGAATGAAGGCGAATCACACATGACATCATAAGAATGAAGGCGAATCACACATGACATCATAAGAATGAAGGCGAATCACACATGACATCATAAGAATGAAGGAGAATCACACATTACATCATAAGAATGAAGGAGAATCACACATGACATCATAAAAATGAAGGAGAATCACACATTACATCATAAGAATGAAGGAGAATCACTAAGTACATCATAAGAATGAAGGAGAATCAACCATGCCAGGTTAAGAATGAAAAAGGAGAATCACACATGACATCATAAGAATGAAGGAGAATCAACCACGCCAGGTTAAGAATGAAAAAGGAGAATCACACAGTACATCATACGACTGAACGAGAATCACACTTAACATCATATGAATGAAAAAGGCGAATCACACATGGCATCATAAGAATGAAGAAGAACCACACATGACATCATAAGAATGAGGGAGAATCACACATTACATCATAAGAATGAAGGAGAATCACACATGACATCATAAGAATGAGGGAGAATCACACATTACATCATAAGAATGAGGGAGAATCACACATTACATCATAAGAATGAAGGAGAATCACACATGGCATCATAAGAATGAAGGAGAATCACACATGACATCATAAGAATGAAGGAGAATCAACCATGCCAGGTTAAGAAGGAAAAAGGAGAATCACACAGTACATCATACGACTGAACGAGAATCACACTTTACATCATATGAATGAAAAAGGAGAATCACACATGGCATCATAAGAATGAAGAAGAACCACACATGACATCATAAGAATGAAGGCGAATCACACATTACATCGTAAAAATGAAGGAGAATCACCCATGCCAGCTTTAGAATGAAAAAGGAGAATCACACATGACATCATAAGAATGAAGGCGAATCACCCGACATCATAAGAATGAAGGAGAATCACACATGACATCATAAGAATGAAAAAGGAGAATCACACATGACATCTTAAGAATGAAGGCGAATCACCCGACATCATTAGAATGTAGGAGAATCACACATGACATCATAAGAATGAAAAAGGAGAATCACCCATGACAGCGAAGTAATTAAGGAGTATCGCCCATGACAGCATACGAATGAAGGAATATCGCACAGTCTACAGCAACCCATGCTTGCCGTAATAGGCGACTTTGCCTGTCGTAAGCGTCGACTAATGGGATCAGGTTGATATGCATGTCATCATGTCCCTATTACATGGATCGATGCTCATGATGTCAATCACTGGATTGTCTGGTCAAAAATACATATTTCTGAGTGTTGCGTTAAACGAGTATCACCCTTGACAGCACGAGAATGAAGGTTCATTGCCCACGACAGCATTAGAATGAAGGTTCATCGCCCATGACAGCATTAGAATAAATGGAGTAATGCCCATGACAGCATAAGAATGAAGGAATATCGCCCATGACATCATTAGAGTTATGGAGTAAGGCCCGTGACATCATAAGAATTTTGGAGTATCGCCCTTGACAACATAAGGCAGAAGAAGGAATATCGCCCATGAGAGCCTAAGAATAATTTGCATCTCAAAACATTATGTATGACTTTACTTGATTTGTTTCGACTTTGTGTATCCATCCAAAATCGCAAACAAATGTCCACAGAGAATGCGGAGGGAATGTAGGGAAGTTTTGCAAGCATTGTGTCATTATTGAGGATAGGGGTCAGTAATAAAAGAAACATCATATCGCATCATCAACAAGATATTCACCGTAGCAGTACTTGAGGCCTTGAAATTCATGGTGACAATTTGAGTTGTCTCCCTTGGACCAAGTGAGCAGTCTTTTGGCAATAGTCTCATTCATGTCAGTTGCTGCAATCCTACGTCATGAATCTTTTGTTTTCCTTATATATGTTGCCTAGCGGTAATTGCAACATTATGTCCTAACATTTAAAACTGCTGCTCGGTTGTGTGGAATCATTCCTCTTCATCTCCCGGGCTTCGGTAGCCTTCATTGAACCGAATTTTCCTTTGAACGTTTCTCAATTTATGATATATGTACTTCGGATATTGATATATGTCTTTAGAAACGGCTACGCGATTTTATACAATTTTTGACTGTTATACTTCGATGCATGCACAAACAAATGAAAGAAATTCTTATTGTACAAGAATTAACGTCAGTTTATTCCCTTAATAATCTACATGTATAATTCATATTATGGCAAAATATTAAACCCTCACAAGAATATTTAGAGAATATGTCAAACGATCTGCACGTGAAAATGTATAAGTGTATATGTGATAGATAAATGCTAGAGAGGACATTAAAACACGACAAAGTAAATGACAAATTGCAAATTGTTGATATAGATACACATGTACATACAGAGATAGAATTGAACATAATTTTCGAACATATTTACGATTATGGGATATCTGGCAGCAAAAAGTATATATACATATATGTTAAATTTGCCCTTTGAACCAGTGTACATCTTTTGAACATTAAACATTGATTACATGTGACCCTCATTTCCCTAATGCCCCAGATGTACCAGTCTAATGACATTATTTGAGTTTGGGGAGAAAAATGCCTTCTGCAGTACGAGTTCAAACCTGTAAATCCATTGCCCCAAGCTAACCTTGACCTCTGACTATTCTTGACCAATATCAAAGTAAGATCCCATGGTAGAGAGGTCATAGACTAAAGATGGTGAACAGAGCATGAATGCTCTTTAAGAAATGTCGTCACATGCATTTTTCTTATCGCATGGCACTTGATAGAGGTCTGTGGACATAGTTAGCTTTGTAGCCATCATCAAAATTTCCAACAAAACATAAAGCTTATTGTAAAATAAAGCATAGTGATCCAACTAAGATACAAATCTATTAACTGTACAGTGAAAGGTTACATGTTATATGGCATTATATGACACATACGAGCAGAATAGGGCTAGTTTCATAGGATACTTTCTGCATACTTAAAACTCACTACTGATCAATGATTTGGCCTGAGAGTTGAATGTCCATTCAAAATCATTTCATTGGATAACAGAAAAATTAATAATAAGGCTGAAGTATCATATGCACGCCGAAGAAGGGGTCAGGCTCGGTGACTTGGTTGATTCCTTTCCTTATGGTCTGGGACACTCGTCATGCATTCACCCGTCATGCATGGTTTGTCTGGTCCAGACTCGAATATTAACAGGCTCACCAACCCCTCCATGACTAAAATCAAATCAAGATAATTTTGTCACTGGCGTGAAGAAATCAGGGCGGTCAATACGACTAAATCCAGCTGGTATTTGTTGACAACATGATGCAACATAACTGTCATAGTTTTATGAAAATTAGCTGCGAAACACATCTGCTAATTGCCAAGACAGAACACGGTTCCTCACATTTCTGTATGACAATGACAACCTTTCTTTCCAACCCTTGAAACTGAGTTGGGCGTATGTACAACACTTCGCGTGGGTCACCAAAGGCGTCCTTCTTGTTTAGCTGCAGTGTCGTCTTATCAACGACAGGGACTTGGCAAGATACAAGAAAGTCTTTTTCGAATGTTGGTTTTGTCCTGTCGTCCAACAAGATGACATCTGACCAGTCTAAGTCACTTCTTGGCTTCTCGTTTTGAGCCAAAACATTTCGGGTTTTGCTGAGTTCAATCTCATGGACAGACACATCACTACGCTCCTGAGCTGCCTTCTCTATGACTCCAAGTCTGTTGAGAATGTGTTCAAGTTCACCTTTGCATATTCGGCAATCTCGAAGCAAACACAGTGAGTCGGCGTGTTTGTGATGTACAATAAAACATTCTGGTCCGTCGAGCGGGCGTACTTCCTTGAATGAATAGTTTGCCTTTTCCTTATCAGTGATGTGAATTTCAGCTCGTTTTTGATATCCTTCAAACCCACCTGAAGTCGCTGCCAAAAATACTATGCTGTCTGAGTTAATTTCAATGTTCAAATTGGGTCCTTCAGAGACACGTGACGATCTTAAAGGTAGGCCAGCCCTTGAAAGGAAGAAATGTGCAAATGTTGCTTCATTAAACACAAGATCCTTCCATTGACGGAGCTTCTTCCGTTTGTTCATCTGACCTTGATTTGCTCTTTTAGCAATTATGTCATCATCATTTCCAAAACCAAGCTTGTAAAGGAATTTAGCAAATGTTTTAGGATTATATGTCTTTGGCGATTCAGGCGTTTCAGTAGGTGTATCACGATCTTTTACATAGACTTGTATGTTTGTATTACCCCCATATACAAACTCTGCTACTGGTATAGACGAAACAACTCTTGATCCAAAAGTATAGACTGCCTTATCAGATGCATCGGGACTTGTGCATAATGGAATGTCTAGCTTTTCAAGTTGTCGAAAGAAAGGACGTCTTTCAGTTTTGGGGTCAGTCATATCACGTACAACTAATTTTGTGTCAGATGAAGGCATCAGGCCCACCGAAGCAAGATGATCCACTACCTTGGGTATTTGAATAGTACCACTGAATGGCTTTTGAGGTTCCCTGAAGTTTGGCCAAAATGGAAGTATGGATGGTGGACATCTAAGTATTTCTTCCAGGAGAATTTGTTTAAATTTGCCATTTTGAGGTTGAGATATTTTGTCATCAAAAATAAGATGACGCAAGTGCTTACTTGGATCAACGTCTTTCTCTTGGGCTATTGCAATCCAGAGTACGCACTCAGGAGGGAATGATGATAGTGTTGGCTGAATGTCAGGATCAGCAGAACGGGCAAGAGAAAGACATCGACATTCATCAATGAGAACATTTGCCTTAATTCTTGTACACGTTTCAAGAACCCTTCTAAGAGATCGTTGGTCCGTAACATGGATTGAAATGAGAAGCTTTCGGACATCTGTATCTTCCTCTAATCCATGCAAAATTGAAGCTTCAAGGACATGATGTAGAGGGGATTCCGCCATGTTAATGACCCATACTTTCTTCTCTTGTTTCAACAATTTGATAGCCTGTAAGATGAGCAATATTGTTTTCCCCGATCCATAGTCTCCTCTGAGAATTAGCCGGTCAATAAAAGTGTTATAGACGGCAACCTGGGTGGGTGTCAAAACAATATTCATATATCTGTTTCCTAGCCCTGCTACACATTCTCCATAGCTTCTCCCAGGCCCTTCCTTGTCATGTTTGGCTGAAGATACTGGAATCTTGACGGTCGAATGTTCTCCAACGTATCTTTCAATAACACTTCTGTACTCTTCCAAGGATTGAAATCCTTTTCTTTGTTTCTTTGTCATTCTCGACCACCATTCCACTAAGTTTTGTTTTGTTTTCGAATTTTGTTCCACGCTAGGGATGTTATCAAGAAAGAGACACTCATCTGTTGAAAATCCTGATTCTTTAATACGTTTCACTGATTTATTGAAAGTACAGAAAGAGTTTTTCAATATATTTGGAAATGCAAGGACGCATGTTGTAGATACATCCTTGACATCTGGAAAGTTTATTCCAAAAAAACGTCTATTTTTCTCCTGCTGAGAAAGACATGCTTGTATAACGCTATTCACTGCGTCATCAGATTTACCCATACATCCCTTTGTTTCTATGAATATCAAACCATACCTATAATGGATAATAAGTACATCGTGTTCACCTTTCTTGTCATACTTGTTGTCGTGCAAGCCGTCAAAATGGTAAGATGTGATGATGAAAACAGGATCCTTTTCCCCGGCCAGATGTTTAAAGAAGTATTCCATACACTCTGCAACCCTCTTCTCTGATTCATCACCTAGAAGGTAATAATACTCAGGACCATATATGTATCCAATGTCAGTTTTCTCTCTCATGACTGGGGGGTGTCCAACGGGAATTGGCGGAGTCATGTAGACCGATGTATCTAGATTGGGAAAATATTTGTCCATGTATTTATGGAATGCTTCTTTTGCAGGTATTGTTCCCAATGTTTTCCCTGCATATCTGACAAATACGTCTTCATAGCCTGTTGACAAATCAGATGTTGTTTCCGTCCTGGATGGATCTTCGCCATAGCTTTCACCGTGTTGAGTAAACTTTGCTGATGGTGTCGTCACAGGGTCACTTTGGAAATTTCCTGGTTCTTTTAAGGGATTGGAAAGTCGGTTCTGTGGGTCCTCAACATCAACAATGGCATTATCATTAGTGTTGGTCAAATCTGGTGGTGTTTCTTTAATTGACAAATCACGGAGGGAATGATCCAAGTTGACGGCATCTGACATCTCAGCCAGAGCAGCCTCCCGTGCACCCTGTTCAGCCATAGCAAGACTTGCCTTTATAGTTCCCTGTAGTGACACCTGTCAACAAAAATATTTAGATGACATAACATGACCTACACTTTCCTCTACCTTACCCCTCCAGCTCAATGCCTCCCTACCACTATCTTAACCTCTCTACTGCCATATATAACTGTCTACCTCCATCATCTATTACCTATAATGTCTACCTATCTCTATACCTGTTTACCCCTCAACCTGTCTAGACTGCACGGTACCTGTCTATGGTTCCATCTCTCTGTCTACATCCCTCTATACCTATCAACAACTCTTTTACTCGTCTACGACGCTAATTTACCTATCCACCTGTCTACCTCTCTCCCTCAATATCTTATTATCCTGAAGGACATTTGGTTTACATAAGCACAAAGTCTCAGCTTAATCACACACACACACACACACACACACACACACACACACACACACACACACACACACACACACACACACACACACATACACACTAATATGAACATCACAAAAGTAATTTACTATATATATATATATATTACTCTAACTTCACCCTCTTTGCATGTCTACATCCACTCTACATGTTCTTCTTGGTAGGTGAAATTTCGTACAAACAAGTGATAATTAATTTTTTTGTATAAAATATTTCTTAAGAGTTTTTGTTATTGTCATGATACCATTAATATATCCATGATTGGTATTCTAATTTATTCAGTTGATACGATGTATTTGTTGGTGAGATGTGATAAATCTCATAAAACTTTCTATTGTGCAAAACTGTCATAGCTGATGTCAGCTTAAATTCTAGAAAAAATACTTGATGTCTTATATTGGCTGGTTGTTGTATCTGCTTTTGAACGTATACAGAAGTATGTCGTTGTGTGTATTCAAATAGGTTAGCCAGATCAAATTGCCCATTAGCGCAAGAAGACATGTTATAAATCTTCATTTAATATATTTTGAATTCTTGACTATAACTTTACAGAAAAGGATACTATTTGTATCAATAGAAAGCAAAATGAAAATTAACTACTCACACACTTTACATCCACAACTCTGTCTTTACATCCTATGACTTTTCTATCCATTTCATCGCCTCGTAAAACCAGTTTTTCAGGCATTAATGTTGTATACAATGTATTTATTAAATGAATCGTATATAGTCAGAGCCTATATGAATAATTATATCTCGTTTCCAGAAATTATTCAAACATTTAATGATGCTCCAAAAGCTCGAAATTCTCTTCTGTAAGCAACCCTCCCACACATGTAGTTTCCGTTCTGTCATAACAAGGTGGCTTCTTACGGATATGATGATACATGTTTATCGACTTTACTTGTTTGTAAATTTTAAAACTGGAGTTTGTAAGCGAAAATCTTTCCCCATATATTTCTGTCATTACATTCGTAAGTATGAGATTTATTAACACTCCTGTTATCTTCATGTATATAATCTGACTAGAATCCACCATTATAGTTTTATGTATTCTTAATATTCACAATAGATATTCCCTGAAGTATTACAGATGTCTCCATGTGTATTCCATTTAATCATTTAAACATTATCATTAATATCCTTTCCATTAGTATCATATTCCCTATAGTATATACTCAACTGATGAAAACAATGTAATATTAATTAATAAATACATACTAAACAAGTGCAAAAGTGAGCGTGGCTCACTAATACCCCCGACCCGCCTAGTGTGTCAGTAGTTACAAATTAAATAGCTAGGATAGGGTAAGGGTTTGGAAAATTCATAAAAAATGGAAGATTAATAAAAACAATATTTTTCTTTGAACTGCACCCCTCCATATGACACATATTATATTACTAAGTTTGAGATGAATCCACTGATTAGTTTAAGAGAAATCGCGCGGACAAAGTTTTCGGACGGACGTTGGGGTTTGAAAAATTCATAAAAAATAGAAAATCAATAAAAACATTTTTTTTCTTTTGACTGCACCCCTCCATATGACACAGGTTATATGTACTAAGTTTGAGATGAATCCCCTGAATAGTTTAAGTGAAATCGCGCGGACAAAGTTTTCGGACGGACGGACGGAACCTTGGTATAACTATATACCCCCGACATTTTGTCGGGGGTATAATAATGAATTGTTTTTGATAAATCTAATAAAAACAAATGGTTTCTGAGATTTTATACCATATTTACAAAATATAAACTTCAGATTTATCATATTATTTGGACCATTCATGGATATTTCAGTATCATCCCACGTAGAGAATATATGGTATAAAGATTTCAACACAACATTGAAAGTAAGATTAAAACAGAGCTCAGCATAGGCACAGTAAGCATTATGTCACTGGGACACGAGCAGCAACACCAATTATAAGTCTCAATTTATCCTCAAACATCTGCTTGCCACTCTATCCGTATCTGCCATATGCATGCTGTGACCAACCAGAATATGTTGTTATTTTATTTTATACACTGGCCTGGTATGACTTAAACATCTTATCAATTTAAACTCTGCTCTCCATGGGAACATTTATGTTATTAATGTATTTCCTCTAATAAAACGTCAACCTCTAATTGATACCGGGACATACGCTCGGTCCAAAAACTAGAGGCCGCGCTTCTATTTGACGCCGAGTCCATCATTTGATGAAATTAGTTGCCCCTATCACATCAACATATAGCATGCATGGGGTGAGTGAGTTAGAATTTGACTCACTCACCCCATACAGGCATGCATGGATTATTCCCTCACTGAATAATGACTGTTTCCTGCAAATGTAGACCGCCTCCGTGGTCTTGTGGTAGAGCGTCCGCCCGGGGAGTCGAAGGTCCGGGGTTCGATCCCAGGCCGCGTCATACCGAAAGACGTTAACAGATTGTACTTATTCTTACCCGGCCTGGCGCTCGGTATTAAGGAGTTAAAACAAGGACTGGTCGGCTCGGAGTCAGTATACTGTGTCTGAGTGGGGTATTCATGTTAAACTGCGGCATGGTATCTCAGTGTGCTAGCACTACAAATCGACATCAGTCCGGACTAGTTCAAGCAGCCCCACACACGTGTATGCACGTCGCTATGTAAGTGCAATAATCTTGGACGCGACGTTAAACCCCATTTCACCTCACCTCCTGCAAATATACCCTTTGCATGACAGAAGAATTTGGCATTCGGTAAGGTGGTGAGTTGCCACTGTGCCAGCATTAAACAGAATAGACGCCGGGTAAACGGCTTGCGCGAAATTAATAGACGATCCCGCGTGAATTAGAGGAAATACGGTATGTATAACCACGTTCACAATCAGCGCGCAAGCCCTGTTCATCGTAACATCAGTAATAGCGACTCATTAGAACTCGATCTCACATACATTTTCACATATATTCGCCCCTTTTCACGTCGAATGAATACTAATACATGGTATACAACATCATCGACAATCGATAAAGATTTATAGCCTTACTATGAGACGATCTAATCTTGAGATTAGACGAAGCACTCCATATGCTTTGTGTGCCGTGCACCACGTTGCACAACACCGGCCGATTATTACGCACGTTAACGTCGATAGGTAATCCTGTTCAGGGCCCAGAGTTCCGTTTCTCGGAATCCGTTATGAGATGTCCTAGTTTGGGGCGAGGACGCGAGCGTGATACCAAACTATATGGCAAAGTGGTGTTTCGCCAGATACCGGCTTGTTATATCCACCATGCACACGACATCACACTATTTTTTATGCTTGGGGTCAAGCAACATAATAGGAGTAGTTGAGGTGGGAGTTGTGTGGTAACAGAGGTTCGGCAGTATCAGTTGATGCTAATTTGTATCCTAGACCAGATTTACGGTTTTACGTTTTGAGTTGATATGTGTATTTGAAGCAAAAAAACGAAGAATCGCTATAACACGTTTAAAGGGATATAAAGGAAAGTGGAGTATACACAATTGAGAATGTTTACAGAAGATTTATTCAAATATCCGGCTGAGTCAACAATGCTCTTTGAGGACAGTGCAAATGAGGTTTTATGATCTATGTGTAAAACTTATGAAATATGGCACTTTTAAAGTTGTTTGGTAACATGGACATATCTTCTCTTCACGTGGTATTATTACACATTGTACTTATTTGTGAGTGACGTCGTGCATTACACAACGATAACCTGCACACGGCATGACCATGACAAGACACGATAAGAAAGGAAAATGTGCACCCACTTTTAATTTTAACAGGTGTTTCAGGTTTTTTCTCGTTTCTTTGTTGAGAATGTAAACCCGAGGGTGAAGGAACATGTCCCCGACCCCAAGTGTTTACATTTCCACCATAACCAAGAAAAAGTGTTTTCTCAAACTTATAAACGAAGACAAATATATGTGAAAATTTAAATTATCCTTCTCTGAGAATACACATATGACTCATGTTTGTCGTAAAAGGATATTCAAAAGGCAAAATGCCAATAAGCCTTAGACAGGGGCCAGAATTCTTATAAACGGAGACTTTAAACTTTAGATTACCCTTCTCTGAGAATACACATATGCCTGGTGCTTGTTATAAAAGGATCTTTAAAAGGACAAAATGGCCAGGAGCCTAAGACATAGGCCAGAATTGAGGCCGCATCCCCAATTCAGTCCACAGCCGCAGTGTCTCAGTGAGTGAGTGAGTGAGTTTGGCTTTACGCTGCTTTTAGCAATATTCCAGCAATATCACTGCGTGTTACACCAGGAATGGGCTTCACACATTGTCTCAGGATGATCTGTACAGACAGCTGTCTAATATGTTCGTGACCTTTGTTATACCTTCAAAGTGTCTCTCGAATTAGGCTTGTATCAATCGCCAGCTACAACCTGAAAAATGCTTAAGTATAATACAAGTTGAAGCAATTTGAAGAGAATTGTGTAAATTCAGAATTTCCTTGTCTATTTTCCAAGTAAATACAGTTCTTAGGTTGAAAGATATGGAGTGTGTGCACAATGTTGTAGTGGTTATATCGAATATTATCATATACCTATCAATGATATGAGGTATTTTGCATGTGCGATAGAGCCAACATGGAGACGGTCATATCACAGGGGGTGTAGTAACCAGAAGAAATTAGAGTTACGTCCTTTAGTGCGTCGTCTGCTCGTTTGGTCAGCTAGCTTTAACGTGACAATGACTTCCAAACAAGGCGAAAATGTTTTGCATTCGCTTGCAAATAGATAAAGTGTATATTATGGTATATGATAAAGAGGTTGTTATATGGCAGTTTTCATATCATACCCCAAATCAACCCTCGACCCCCATTATTATCAGCCCTGTGTGCCCCATATCAACCCTCTGACATTCGACCCTCGGGCTGATTTTGGGGTCTTGGGTTGATATGGGGGTTTGGGTTGATATGAGGGTCTCGGGTTGATATGGGGGTCTCGGGTTGATATGAGGGTGTCGGGTTGATATGGGGGTCTCGGGTTGATATGGGGGTCTCGGGATGATATGGGTGTGGGTTGATATGAGGGCCTCGGGTTGATATTGGGGTCCGGGGTTGATATGGGGGACTCGGGTTGATTTGGGTGTTTGGGTTGATATGGGTGTCTGGGGTTGATATGGGGGTCTGTGGTTGATATGGGGGTCTGTGGTTGATATGGGGGTCTCGGGTTGATATGGGGGTCTCGGGTTGATATGGGGGTCTGGGGTTGATATGGGGGTCTCGGGTTGATATGAGGGTGTCGGGTTGATATTGGGGTCTCGGGTTGATATGGGGGTCTCGGGTTGATATGGGGGTCTTGGGTTGATATGAGGGCTTCGGGTTGATATGAGGGCCTCGGGTTGATATGGGGGACTCGGGATGATATGGGTGTTTGGGTTGATATGGGAGTCTCAGGTTGATATGAGGGCCTCGGGTTGATATGAGGGTCTCGGGTTGATATGGGGCTGTCGGGTTGATATGGGGTATGCTATGAAAACTGACATGTATTCTACCATGACAGTGATGAATGCTTGATTCTGATTGGTTAAAAAGAGGTTTCCTTTTTGCTACGGAAACCCCTTTCAAATCTATTAAGCCTCTTCATAAAATCTTCATTAAAAATGGCACTCTCTTACCCAGAGTTCATTGCGGTCGGCAGCCAGCATAGTACCTCTGCCACTAGTCTGTCTTACAGACCCTGATCAAAAACAGCCAATGCAAGTCTATAATGTTGGGCAAGTCTAGATAACTGCAGTATCTGAAAATGAAGAGAGTCACTGGGCTCCCTTTTATTATATTTTTATTAAGATAACTGAACAACTGTTTTTTCTATACGATATGTTCATTTCAGATGTTCACTAGATGTTAGTCTACTCTGCCAAAGGCAAGCGCCATGTTACGATTCGTCACATCCATCACAGTCCATTCAAGATATGGCGTATGCTTTTCATCCGTTTCATTTTTGACAAGTTTTCACATTTTCATTAACAAATGTCAAAGAATGGTTACGGTTCATTAAGAAAGTATAATAATATAATTTGGCAGGAGAGGATTTGAAAGTCCATCACTCAGAAGACACTCGTCCATTCGAAAAACCACGAAAACAATGTCCCGACATCATTGAAGTCAAACTTGATGAAACTCATTTCAGAACACGCACAATTAAGAAAATCATTCACGACCCACTGTTTCTGGGCCACGAATGTCTCATTCCATTCCATTGTCGTTTTTATTGCATACCTTTAATTGATTTCTATGTGTAACCATCATCAGCTCAATGGTGTTGAGGCTCTGCAGCTGGTGGCTAAGTTATCAAATGAAATCTGTTTCGTCTTATAATCGAGACTGGTTATTCTCTGGCGTTCTTGTTTCCTATTCCCATGATACTGTGCTGATTATATCCAATCACACAGCAGACACTACAAACGAACAGTTGTAGGGCACATGGTAAACTCTCACTGAGTGTTCTACTGCATACATTACTTTCGACGTTCATTATATCTCATAGGGTGGACACAACTTCTTCCCGAGGAAGGCAAGGTCGGTGGTTCGCTCATCGGCAGCGTCATATCAAAAGAGGCGTTAAAAGATGGACTTGTTGTTGTCCTGCCTGGAGATAAAACAAGGAAGTCAGTGTAGTGTGTCTGATTGGAGTATCCTTGTTAAACTGCAGCATGGTATCTCAGTAAATCAGCAAGCTCCGTAAAACCGTCGTAAGTCCGGACTAGTACACGCACGCATGTCACTTTATAAGTGCATAATCTTCAACGAGAACTTAAACACCATTACACCTCACCACCAATCCCTTTTGTTGTGAAGAAATCAATAATATATGCGATTGATTGTAGAATTATATGATACCACAGCAATCAAAATCAGTGGCTAAGAGGTTGTGAAATTAACGAAGACCGTTATTTTCCTCTGAACGGCACAGTCGAGTCCATGACATACGGCTCACTCAGATAAGAGAGTAAATATGGACTTTCCAAGCTATCAGCCATATTCCAGCCATACGACGGGGCTTCCCACATTTTAGAGTATCGAATCCGAGTCTGCGCGAACACTTTAGCCCGTGGGCTACCCCGCAGCTCTTGAAGTCCAAACGTCCTTCGGGCCACGATGAAGTTTGAATAAATTACAATGTGCTCTCAAAAGTACAAATATCATCCTTGAAATCATCAAGTATATTTTATTGATTACTAATGTAAACACACACAGGACATAGCATGTTGGGCACAATGTATAACATGAATACGTTTTGCACACCCGCATGTATTTATTAAAATTCAAATGTGAGTCTACTGGACAAAATCTTCCATCACATGCTCCCCATGCACAAAGATCAGTTAATCACCATGAGTGCTTGTTAGTTTGTTTTTTGACGTCACGCTTAGCAATATTCGAGCTATATGACGTTGGTCTGTACTATAGCTAGTCTGGACCAGACGATCCAGTGATTGACATCACGAGCATCGATCTACGCAATTGGGATACGATGACATGCACCAACCAAGTTTTGTGGAAACATATATTCTCCTAAAAAGGATTGGGCACAAGTTACCAAAACTTAGAACGCACTCTCCCGTAGATTTACATGTTTACTTATTTACAATAAATGGCAGAAAGGAAATAAGAGAAATAGAGAAATGTATTTACATTGTTTGAAATATTTTCGTTCACGTGATCAGGTAAAGCTGCATTACCAAATAGCATCAAGTCAATATTAACACCATAAGTATCTTTCACAATGAACAATAGTGAATGCCTCTATTCGTTTCTAGCTAATATAAAAAATGGACAATCAATGAAAAGGTATATGAATTTGAATTTTCACATATCGGTTGATACTCATGTAAACCCTTTCAAATAAATCATTTTTTAAATCACTTTCTTGATCATCCAAGTCAGCGAGCCTGACCACCTGAACCCGTTAGTCGCCTCTTAGATGCCTCTTTCTTTCCAGGCATATATATTCTCAATCAGAGGATGGACACACTCAAATCAACCTCTCACGGTCCCCTGCAACTTATCATACACTCACATGTTTTCTATTGGTTGTGCTGTTCCATGAAGTATATCTTGACATTGTGTGACACATAGCATCAATACCAATATTGAAAAAAATACTTGAAGGTTTGAATGAGAGGAATGTTATTGCAGTTTTAGTTGACCATGTTCAAGTATTCACGAAAGACGTGATGTCATTATACGCTATTGCCATACCCTGAGAATCAATAGCTGTGAAGTGCACCTACTTATTGCAACCTCAATTCCGTCTCTCACTACCTCTATACCTAAAGGGCTAGGAATTTCGGGTTCGCCGGATGTCACAACCATAACAACTTTCCTTTCTAGTCCTTGGAACTGTTCAGGTCGCATGTAGTCTACACTCCTTGTAGAGCCGAATGCAACTCTTGAGTCTAGTTCCGTGTTCAGCCTGTTCGTCACGGATATCCCACATTGCTTAAGAAATTTTGTTTCACATTTAGCCTCTATTCTGTCATCCAAAATGATCACATCTGACCAGTCAAGATCATTTCTGGTTGTTATCAAATCACCATGGCCTTGTAATGTGTGGTCAGTTTGGGAAGACGCAAGGCCAAGTAAACTCAGGAATGATGTAAGTTGTTCCTTGCATTCACCACAGTTCTCAAGTATGCATGTGTGATTGTGATCAATATACACACAGCTGGGTCCATCAAGCGGCCTACATTCCAAAAAGGAAACATTTGAAACGAGTTTATCAGTAATTATCTCAATGTCTGCATTTCTATGGTAACCTTCGAATCCCGAGATAGCTGAAATGTTAACCTGTTTGTCTGAAATAATATCAACTCTCAAGTCTGTTCCTTGACAAGGTCGATCTGATGTTAAAGACACACCCATGTTTGAACGTAATGGGTAATAATAAGGCATGTCCATGAAGGTTAGATCTGACCATTTGTAACGTATATCCCGATTACCTACATTTCCCTGCCTTGCAATTCTTGACATCGTATCAGAGTCATCTCCAAAGCCTAGCCTGTACAGAAAAACAGCAAACCTCTTCTTGTTATAGCTTAACTGTTCAACGTGGCCAAGTCTGGAATTTTTCACAAAAACACATATCTTTGTGTTACCACCAAATCCTATCTCGGCTACCTTTTCGTTTTCTGTCAAATGGGAATTATCTGAATTAGGAAGTATGTAGTTAGAGTCTAGAGTGTCACTATTTGATTTTGCAACTGGAATCTTCAACCCTTGAAGTTGTTTAAAGAAGGGTCTCTTCTCCTCCTCCTCCTTCTTTTCCTCCTTCTTCTCTTCCTTGGTCTTTCCTTCTCTTATTCTTAAATCCCTAACTGTAACATGTGTGATGTTGGTGGATCGAGAAAAGGGTGGAATCAAATCCATAGTAAAGAGTTTTTTCTTTAGAATCTCTATGTTGATGGTTTGTTCACTGAATGACTTCTGTGGTTGTCGAAAATCTGGCCACAAATGAAAAATAGATGGTGGACATCGTAATATTCCCAGGAGACGCACATCCTTAAATTTGAGTTCTTGTTGACTGGAGCCTGTTGTATTTGTTTGTTCTTCAAATACCTCCTGTACACCTTTGCTGAGAGTTTCTTCTCTCTCTCTTGTCATCACTATCCACAAGAGATATTCTTTGGGAAACGTATCGAGAGCTCCTTGAAGATTTGCATTTCCATGTAGGAAAGAAGGGAACTCATCAATCAGGACATTCCTTTGCTCATCAGCACATTCTTTAAGAACCCCAGCAAGCGATTCTTGATCAGTTACCTGTCGGACAGTAAGGAATGGTTTCCATTCATCCCCCAAGCCTGTAATTATTTGTTCTTTAAGAGCATAATGCAGAGGAGAATCAGACATGCTTATAACAGCCACTTTTTGTTCTGCTTTCAAAAGCTTCACTGCTTTTAAAATCAACAATACTGTTTTGCCAGAACCATAATTACCTCTGATGATAAGTCTCTTCACATCTGAGTTGTTGATCCTTATTTGAGTGGGTGTGAGAACAATGCTCATATATCTATTCCCAACTTCTGCAACACATTCTCCAAGTGTATTTCCAGGACGTTTCGTCTGGCGTGGTTTTGGGATTGTAACAGTCGAGTAACATCCTACATATCTTTCAATGATACCACGGTAGTCATCATGGGAATCAAATCCCGAGAGTCTTTGCGTCGTGAACCTCTTCCACCACTCTACAAGTTCTTGCTTTTGTAAACTCTGGGATACAAGATCTGACTCAGGATTTGGAAGGTGATCAAGACATAACACTTCGTGTTGCCCAAGACACTTTTCGTAATTTCTAAACTGGCAAACCATTTCTGTTGATGTATTTGGAAGGGCAAGTATACATGTTTTTGATAAACGAGAAAGATGGGGAAATTCTTTCTCAATGAAATCCAGATCCTTCTTACGCTGATTCAGACCTGTATTAATCGGCAACTCTTTACTTGAATGCACAGCAATCCGAATCTGTAGTGGATGATCAATACGTCGTGTTCACCTTTACCCTCATACGTTTTTTTCAAAAGGTTGTCATAGTGATATTGTGTGACAATAAATGCAGGTCCATCTTCACAGCACCAGTACTTCAGCAAATATTCCATACATAGAGCAACCCTTCGTTCTCCCTCATCAACCTGACTGTAACAATGCCCTGGGTCATACTTTAAATATGCAAATGGACCCTCTGGCTTCTCTGGTGCTGATTCCTTGAAAGTGGAGTGTCCAATAAAAACAGGGAGAATCACATACACTGATTTGTCCAGACAAGGAAAGTGTTTTTCTATATATTCCTTAAAGGCACGTCTTTCTGACACAACTCCTGATGTTTGATCAGGGCTTCTAATCAGATGTTCACTGTCAGTTGAGGTTTCAGTTCTATATGAGTGTTCAACTCCACCTTCAGGTTGGAACATTGGTGCAGGTTGTTTTCTTGATAGCGACCCTTCTCCATCATTCCCTCCCGACGCATCATCACCAGTTCCAAGTTCCTCATCAGTTCCGAGGTTACATGTTTCAAAGGCTTCAGAAACACTCGTACTTGTAATACCCTGCGACATGGAGGAATGTATAGAAATGGGTTGATGAGACCGGTGTACATCGTGATCTTCCATCTGAGGTTGTCCATCCATATCGACAGCAAATCCACACTTGAGTAACCTGCAAGGACAAATACCGACTCTTGTTCAAGTACCGTACATGTTTCATGACTGCATGATTCAGAGGGTTTCAAACCATTATAAAATTATACTCACCTTCCGGCAGTTTTCAGAGTGGTGGAACACTGATTTATGTAACTCATTTACTTTGTTACATTCCTTTTATATCTATACACTTATCTTCTTTTCTGATTTCTGTTATTTGCTATACAAGCTTTGGTAAGTATCATGGAGAGGCGGGCCTCTCATAACTAGTTCCAAATCCATTTCAATCTGAATACAATGAGTTCAAACAAACACATACACTGTCCCTAGCGAGGAATGGCGACATGCGCTCCTTGCCTTCAATCTCTAACATTTTGTTATGAAATAAATGAACTTATATAAATGATAGTTCCGCATGATTTGAAATAATTGGCCTTCAACTTTCATTTACAGACTAATAAACCAGAATATCATAATCAGAAACACTATACTAATCCCTATTCTGCCCCATGTTTTATGCCGTTATGTCAAACGCCTTGCGTGTTAAATATAATAAAAAGTACCATCTTTTACCGTCTGTTGATATGACACGACCATGGGAACGAACCACCTACCCTCCGATATGTGTATATACAATGGTGGCGAGAGCACCGATAATAAATGTGCTCACCATAGCCAAAACAAACTAAAACTGGATACTTCTTTGGAATGAAAAATATGTATGTCGCTTGAAAGTAAGCCAAGCGTATCGTCTGCTGACACGAACACTGTGGGTACAACACTCGTCTGGCTTCACATCTCACGTTATCAGTCGTGTAATCAGAGTGAGGTAAATGGGGATAGCGGGGAAGTCGCCGTATTGGAATGTCTGGGCAGATTCGATAGTCTACAGAAGTGACATAACAGTAATAGCGTTTGGGTTAATTTTAAACTAAAGAATCTCACTTATGAAGTACCCCTGTAATAATGATCATTAACGTGAAAAGTCGTACGCATCTTACAATATGAAAACAGATGCGCATTAGGTTGACAATAGCCAAATACCAGTGTGTCTGTCTTTTAATAATGTTTACGATACGGGACACTTAGATAACTGTTATCCTTTGTTTTTCTATGCATGTTTTGTATTGTATATAATCGCCACAGTTTCTTCCCTTCAACTCTTGGGTTGCTGTACCCTTCCTCATCTCTCTGTTCTATTTGTTTGCAATTCACTGTGTGTTTGTTTGTTGGTTTTGAAAAAAGTAATTTGTTCGAGATATCATTTGAAACACTTCTTTTAATAATTGGTCACTAGGCATGCTGGGTGTCCTGAAAAAATGAGTCTTGATAAGAAAAGTTACATTTAATGTTTTGAAGCAAAGCAAACTCACCTCCCCACTCCCAAAGAACATTATAGAATCGTTTCCTAATAAATACTCTTTAAAGTGGCGTTAATCCGAACGCACTCGCACCAGAATAATACATATGCTAACTTGACTGAGACACCACCAGACATATTGGCTCAAACGGCATTGCTTGGGTTACGGAGTTACTGCATAAGTTAACATTGCTGATTTATTTTTCAATTTTCAAGAATGAATCAACTTACCATGACACTTATTAGAATTGGAAATACATTGGCGTAATGTCTCATAACCGCAACACAGTAAAGGTTAAAGCACGGAAACACTGATTTAAAACTATGGCCAACATTCACAGAGCCAGTAGTCACCTGACAAGTTCAGACAACATTGTGTTCACAATAAAGCATATTTTGAAAAGATAATCAACACCTCGATATCTAGCTCTGAGAACTCTATGTCAAATACTAACCCTTGAGCTATATCTGGTAATGATTATTGTAATATTGAAATCTATATTACAAATTGTTAGAAAACAAACTACATATATGAAATACAAATTAAATGAACATCCCAAATTATTACAGTATTGATGTCTTGAGACAATTAAAACATAGCTGTAATTGCTCCAAAAAAGATTCTTAATTGATACTTTATTATCGTTTAAGATAGCCATTAAAGATTTCAAATTTTCTTGAGAGAACTATATATGCTCTTAAAGTTTTCTCTGCACATATTCTGTTTTGTTGCCATCCCTGATACCTTTATTATATTAATATCGGATGACAGATTGAACATGATTATTATCGGTAATTCATTTCTCCCTCAATAACCATTAAAACTTATTTGCTTTTACACTTAAAGTCATATACCCATAAAATCAAAGACAAATGAGTCACAAGTACATTAAAAATAATTAATGTATAATTATTAGGGGTAGCTGTGTCATTGAAATACAGCTATAACTGCTGACAGGATTAATTAAAATGAATACTATATACCAGTATTTGCAATTGATTTTGTATTGACAGATGTGCACGTGTGTTTGGGCTTATTACAGCTTACACAATGTAAGTGTTTACAAAATATTATTTTAACTTCACATTAAAACAAAACCAACACAAGTGTCGCAGGGTATTATTACAACTAATAAACATACCATTTCACTGTAGGCTATTTTTACTTGTGTTTTACCATATTTAGAAACATACACTGGAAAATAAAAGATGAACAGCTGACAATAATTAAAAGAATATCAAATTTTTCGAAAACAAACATCAATACTAAACGCTCAAAAAGGGGTAGACAGGGAGGGATATACTATTTATTCCAACATGGGGTGTTTTCTTTGTTTAATTATTGGATCCGCTGAGGAGGTAGTTCACATTGTGAATACAAGTAATAGTTGACAGAAGCATCTTTATCCTGCCGAGTCAGTATTACAGTAGTTAAAAACAACAACAACCAACACATACATTGATAACGGAAGTGATTCTTCGTCTGTTCAAGAAATTAACAACGCATTTGCGTTACATTTCCTTTATTAAATATTCCTGTTTTTCACATGACATTAACAGAGTCATCCACACACAAGTTTCAGCAATATTATAGATATCACGTTGACTATAATGGATTTCATCTTTTACATCCTTTCAGTGTGACGTTTCGGTACAATACCATGTTAAATACTCATTTCCAGTAACTTGCTCGTTAAATGTGGTTGTTCTTTTCCTGACGTAATTATAAAAGGTCAACGCCAAAGAACAACTAGACTCAATTTAAAACAAATCCTTCGTGATTCCGGGAAGAACATGTATCAAAAATCCCATGCATTTCGTTAGTGTCGACGGTGGAAGGTCGGCCGGTCAGGCTCGGTGTATGTTGTCAACAATATTGCAGCTCTATCACGCCAGCCTGTAAATAGGTTTGTCTGGGACGGGCACATCAGTGGTTGATTCCATGCATGAGCAACGTCCCACGTCCTCTGGGTGGGGCACATTCAGGGTAACTACCCCATCCACCTTGGTAGACTCTATTGACAAGCACGTGTACTGGGAGAACTGTTTTCCCCCAGAATTCCATACCTGGGTATCTACCGGGTGAGCAACAGTGCGTAAATAGCAGTATTGTTTTCTTATTGTATTGACACGTTTTATAAGTGATGCTTCAAGTTGATCTTACTAATTTATAAACATGACTAATTTATCTTGGAATATGTAATGTGTATTAATCTACTATATCCTACCCTAAGTTTGGTGATGCATTGATTCTATTGATGCTATGATTCTAAATTGTGAACGCAAACACTTTCGCTATAATTGTACAGATTAAAATACACTGCAAATATTATTTCTATGTCAGAATCTAATTTCAACATTCAGCACAGAACACATGTATCCCACAATGTGAGAATACAGTAAATTGTGATATTTGCTATTTTCTTAAACAAGTATTACTTTCTCAGTGCAGCACACTAGGTTGTTTCTCTCCTTGGAGCGGCCAGTCAGCATGCATAGGACTGCAATACATGACAGGCTCCTAGCACAACACCTCGAGCGGCTATTCAACAAACTACTACTTTGTTCAATGGGTTTCATTTTCCTTATCCACATATGACCAATGTTTTTGGGTGGCGTCGGTGACCGTCGGTTTGCTGGGGGGTAGTTGGATTGGTACACGTCAATTTCGAGAACACCCGCTTTAATACTATTTGATACTGATTCATAAACACATGGTCGTGATACACTCGGAATCGTTTTACGCAGGGCATTTCCTAGTGCCTGGGAAAAGGGTTTTGTCACAATAATGTATATTATTATTATTTCGACATATTTCATGTTGAGTTTTATGAAGTCCGCAGTAACCCCTTCAGCCAGTTACTGTACAGACATGCTCTATATGTACCGTGAACCATCAACGGATAATTTTGCCATGTCTTGTGACATTTTAGAAATATGACGCAATCGCATGAAATACAAAATGTCATTAAACTAAAGCTTACACAGGTATCCAAACAAGAAGACAATAAGATCATTATATAATGTTACATACCTTAAGAATCTTTATCTACAGAGTAAACAGTCTCCACTAGGACTGGTTTGCTCGTTGTGCTTTTGATTGTATCCGGAATATGGATTTGCATAACAATGGTACACAGTCGGCAATGTTCGTTACTTTCCGCCCTTCGTGTTTGTGGGGCCATATTTGAATAACTATTCATATCGTGGTAAATGTTTTCATATCATCTTAAAGTAAGTTTAAGAGCACACACACACACACACACACACACACACACACACACACACACACACACACACACACACACACACACACACACACACACACACACACACACACACACACACGCGCGCGCACACACACGCACACACGCACGCACGCACGCACGCACGCACGCACGCACGCACGCACGCACGCACACACACATTATTATACTCATATGAATGTTTGACTTGAAATGTAAAAAATGAAGTGAACAATATGCTTTTATAGATCTGGTAGTACTTTCAATACATCAACCTCATGTCTAGTTAACGACATCTAAATATATCAGGTGAAATACACCAGGAATATCTAACACATATTATATTTGGGATAACACTTTCTGAGTAAAGTACAGATTCTCTTACTGTTTTGGGTTGATTCCCGTCCGGGA